GGGGCTCAATCCCAGGACCCTGGGATCATGACCTGAGCCGAAGGCAGACGCTTAATGACTGAGCCACCCAGGTGCCCCCATAGTATCATATTTTTAATCCTAGTTTGTTCATCTTCCCTAAAATATAAATGGATTAAAACAAACATTTCTCAAACTGCTAACTAACTAAATGTTTAGACTGGGTTTTGACATTACGGTAGGTCAATCTATGAACAGACGTCCAAACAATCATTCTGTTCTAAAGAGTAAGCCTAAATTCAAAACATCAGCTTGCAAAGGTCTAAGAACTGTTTCAGGGTCTTCTCGACCACAAATACTCATAAACAAGAAAAGGTTGCAGTCATTTTCTCACATATATTAGAAAGCCAACAAATTCACATTTTAAAAAATACAAATTTCATACAATTCAAAAGATAAGTAATCAGTTTATCAGAAATACAGGTGGTTAACAAATGTCCTTAGAATACCAACTTATCCAACCATTCACTGATGAAAAGCTACCCTCAATAAGTCTGCTATAAATAACCCACAGTTAATACTTTGTGCAAATAATTTCAGGCTGACTTCGATTGGCTTACTGTGAGCGCTGAAGAACGCCACTTCAGTTATGACCCCTGTCTCACAATAAAGCAGACATTAAAGTATGGTACATTTCAGTATGTCTATAACTGATGATCCTGTGCCCAGTTTTTCCCCAGAAATACCAATACATGCTTACTCCACATTTAGAAAAAGAGACTTCCACTTCTGGCCAGGATAGAGTACCCAGGACCAGATTTACCTTTCTGCTGTCCACAACAGAAAACTGGACAAAGCACATAAAACAAAATGTATATAAAATGATTTTCAAACACCGGGTCATAGGCAGCACTGGACTGTGCTGTTGGAGAGAAGGAAAACAAAACATGAGCCTCTGGATTGCTCCCTGACTGGCTAGAGGCAGGTCCCAGGCTGTTTGCTGCCCAGGGAGAGGAACCTAGTCTGGTCAGGGGAGGACACCAGAGATTGGAGTTGGGGGGTCTACAGCAGGGTCCCCTACAGCCTTTGGAGGAGTGCCATCCGCTCTGCATGAGAAGAAACCACCAGGGGCTGGGGAAAGAACCACCAGAAAGCAGCAGAGTCAATAGTTCCTGGTGCTCATATGGAGTTGGCAACAGTTTGTATTTTCATCTCCCAAAATGGGAAGACCTCAGAATCACACTAGCCGTGGAGTGAAATTAGCCCTAGACTAAAAGTTGCTGTGGGTCTATCCTAACAAACCTTAAAAGCAAGTCTGGAAAGGATCCAACTGATTCCAAGAACAAAGTCCAACAACACTACCTAAAGGAATACAACAAAGCGCAGCCCCTGATAATGTAAAATTTACAACGTCTGGCATACAATAAAAAACTCCAGGCATTCAAAGAAACAGGAAAATATGACCCATCAACCAGGAGATAAGTCAGTCAACAGAAACAGACCAGAAATGACAGAGTATCAGGAGACAAGGATGTACAAAATGCTATTATAAATACCCTCCATACATTCAGAAAGGTGGAGGAAACACGATAAAGGGAGAAAGGAAATATATAAAAAGGAACAAACAATTGATACAGGCAACAATGCTGATGGATCTCAAAAGCATTATGTTACATGAAATAAGCCAGACACAAATAAGCCTCTCACAAAGGTGGTGACTGGCCTGCAGTCACAAGGTAATAAGGCACAGTTGAGACTAGAATCTAGGTCTCTCAACCTCAATATTCATCCCAATGAACCAAGCTGCAAATACTTTTATACATATGACCAGATGTAGAGCCATTAGAGCCCCAAATTTTCCTCTTAAGAGTTTGATTTTATGTCACCATCTCCCTGAAACTTCTATCAGACAACAGTTGTGTATCCATAATCACATATATATTTTTTTAAAGATTTTATTTATTTATTTGACAGAGAGAGACACAGCGAGAGAAGGATCACAAGCAGTGGGGAGTGGGAGAGGGAGAAGCAGGCTTATACACTGTATGCATTCATTTATAGGAAAAGTCTAAAAGACATAATTATAGATACAGAAAACAGATTAGTGATTGCCAGGGAGTGGAGAGAGAACTGACAGCACAGGGGTATGAGGGAACTTTTGGGGGGTGACAAAAATATTCTAGCCCTTGATTGTGGTATGGTTACCTGACTGTATACATTTGTCAAAACTCATGAAATTATACACTTAAAATTGGTGAATTTTACTGTATACAAATGATATCTCATTAAAGATTATTTATTATTTTTTAAAAGTTTATTTATTTATTTGACAGAGAGAGAGACACAGCGAGAGAGGGAACATAAGCAGGGAGAGTGGGAGAGGGAGAAGCAGGCTTCCCGTGGAGCAGGGAGCCCGATGCGGGTCTCGATCCCAGGACCCTGGGATCATGACCTGAGCCGAAGGCAGACGCTTAACGACTGAGCCACCCATGCGCCCCTCAAGATTTTTTTAAAAATTTAATGAAACACTTGCATATTAGTATATGTTATTTTTTTTTCTGTACCCACTTTATAATTTTGCAACTTGCTACCTTTTTCTCATCACAAACCAACTAGTTAAAATTTTTTTTTTCTCCAAGAATATCAAGAAAAATTATCAAGAAAAGAAATCTTAAGGATGTAGACCTTAACTTTTCCTTTTTTTTTTTTTTAAAGATTTTATTTATTTATGAGAGAGAGAGAGCACAAGCAGGGGGAGGGGCTGAGGGAGAAGCAGGCTCCCCAATGAGTGGGGAGCCCAACTCGGGGCTTGATCCCAGGACTCCGGGATCATGACCTGAGCCAAAGGCAGATGCTTAACTGACTGAGCCATCCAAGTGCCCCAGACCTTAACTTTTCCAATTAGTATATCATTCTAAGTAAGTTTTCTTTAATGAAAGGAAGTGAAAATCTCAGTCTCACTATTCATCACCATCTGCTCCCTGACAAGAAGAGTCCCAGAAGAAAATACATCTAAAACGACACTCACATAACACAACCTGAAGATAGTGGGAATAGCATTTAAAGTCTCCAACTTACACATCTCATTATTGTTGAACAGTATTCCTTTGTAAAGATACACCACCACTGTTTTGTTTGTATATCCACTCATATGTTACTGGACATCAGGGATTACCAACCTTCACTTTGGCAGCTATAAAGTTTAGATTAAAAAGAATTCTCTCCTAAACATGTATTTAAGCATCCTAGTCACACTGGAATTGAAATAAAATTTAAAAATAAAAAGAATTAAAAAAAAAAAGAATTAACAGCTCAATTTCACTTGATCCTGACTGCTTTTAGATGGTTATAATAAAAGAATGTACTATTTATACTTTACACATAAAGAAACAGGCCCAGGGATGTTAAATTATTTCTCTAAGGCCTTTCAGGAGGCAGATCAAGGTTTTCTGATTCTGTCAGTGCTTTTTCTTCTACACCACACCAAGCAATTATGTATTTTTCAAACTTTAAAGTGTTCAGCCCTTTATTGGGTAAGAGTACCTGTGTCTTATTTTTAAACAGCACTTACTGGCAATGAATGGGGTAGGGATGAATGGGTGCAGGAGCCTAAGGAGACACGGCAAGTATGAGACAAGTGAAAAGCAATTCTTCCAATAAATTCACCCTGAACAGCAAACAGCAATCTCTGCTGGTGAGTACCGGAATAAAGACTGAGCGGAGGTGTCAGGCCAATGCTAAAGAAGTCGGCTCAGAAATGGCAGTCGTAGGGAATCACACAAATTAAGCGGTCTGTTGGACCTACAGAAGTTGTAGCCTGAACCAGAAACTGCTGATATTTGACTGTCACCTAAAAATGGCAATTTCTTATGGTTCAACCAAATAATTTCAAAGACAATAATAGGAAAAGTAGACAAATAACTGCAGACAATTCAGTAAGCTCTGGCGCTTATACATACTGGGAAGTAGTTACATAGTTATTCCTTATTCTTAAGGTGATGCTGAATTTTAAAGACAACACAGTTACCCATTTTGAATTAAATATCATCTAAAATACTAGTTAAGAGGCACCTGGGTGGCTCAGTCAGTTAAGCGTCTGCCTTCAGCTCAGGTCATGAACCTAGGGTCCTGGGATCCAGCCCCAGGCTGGGCTCTCTGCTCAGCAGGAAGCCTGCTTCTCCCTCTCCCCACCCCATCCCCGCCATGTGCGTGCTCTCTGACTGAAATAAATAAGATCCTTAATAATATAAAATAAAATACTAGTTAATACTAATGCAAGAAGTGT